AAATAACCTGCAAGTTCAAGACCCGTTTTAGGCATACAGTGGTGCTGAGGTCAAGCTTTGCAGAACAGACAAATCTGTGGCAAATAAAATCAGCAACTGGGGAGGCAGGCAACTGCCTTACCTCTGAGAAGTGAGCTTCAAAGACTTCTTGCTGCAGGATCTTTCAGTGTTAATTCCACTTGTCTAAAAGATCAAGAGAGGAAAATGTAACATTGAAAGTACAGATGTAAGTAGTGGAAATTGGTGACAAAGAATCGAAGATACACAGAAGGGGTCTTTTCTAAAGCCTTTTAGTAAATAATTTTTTTTTAAATTGTATTTTGGGCATGCATAGTGTTTAATTTCTTTTAAAGATCAAGTTGTCTGGCTATGTTGAGTTTTCAGTGTAATTAATTCTAATGATGTAGGGGAAATTCCTCCTATCCTTTATGTTTAAATGCATTGCCAGATCACAAGATTTGAATATCCAGTATTTGAATAATGTAATTTTTGCCTTGCTTTTCTTCTCTGCTTAAATCTTGTGAAACTTGACTACCATTGCTTTCAATATGCTAATTAATTGCCCTCAACTTTCTCACTTAGCAACAGCAATAGTGATTTTTTGTTTTCTGAGCCAAAGTAACCAATAATAGTCTTACTGTGACTAGCCCTGAGATTTACTTTATTACATGATCAGTCCATAAACCTATAGATTACATAAAGACCCTTTAAAACCTACTCATAGATCTGGGAGAAAATAAGTTTCCTTCAGATGAAGATCACGTACCTGCAGTGAACAATGTTTTTTCAGGAACCTCAGTGTTGTATCTGTAGGTTGTCTCTAGTTAATTATAAGCAATGTCTAGTATCTGCAAGACTTCAGATGTCAAAACTGATTTGCACTGATGCTTGCTGTCGACTGCTTTCATTCCTAGACTACCTGAGCAGTGTGGTGGTGCCTCTGTAACTGCCTCCATATTTATAAATACAATTTCAGGACAAAGTATGAATTATGAATGGGGTAAAAAAACTCCAAACAAATGCAAAAAAAACCCAAACCCAACAACTTACAAATGAGACTGATCATTTTCCCTACCCAGGTCTGGCAGGTTAAAGATGCAGGACACCATTTTCCAGAAATGGAGAATTTCCACAGTCACCCCTCCAATTGCAGGAGCACACAGCAGCACTGACCCAGCTCGTATCCCCTGGAGTAAAAGAACCGAACAAAACAAGAGGTAAAATCTTTGTGGCAGGGACTGTCATGCAAACACATACGGTTAAAGATGCCAGACAAGAAGAGAGGTCTGGATAGAGGAAATTACATGACTGGCAACTTGAGAAAGCTTTCTCTGTGTCACCAGGATGCAGCTTTTCTGATCCAGTTCTGTGTCTTAGTTAAATAAAATTTAAACTGTTAGAACAAATTCTGACCATGTTATTTTTGCCACCACAGGGTGTCTCTGTATCTCTTCTTACACCAAAGGCTTTTGTAGCCTTTAATGGCAACCTGCAATGTCAAGGAAATGTAGGGCTAAAGGAAAATGTCCCCCATCTTAGCTGTGGATTATCTTCAGAATCACAAGGCTTCTTGGATGGGAATGGCAATACCTTTCACTAGTTGCCAGGAAATTCTTCTTCAGCATGTAAGGCCCTAGTCCAATGATGTTATTTAATTTGGTTTGAGAGCTGTCTCGTATCAGATCAAAGAAAGCTGTGGCTATATGATATGTGGCACCAATCTAGCTTACGCTCATTCTGCACTACGGTCACAATGCTTGAAGCATTATCCCTGTACTGGCACACTTCTGTTTAAGCAGGCAATGTCTCTCTGCCATTTTACCTTTCTGCTTATATGGGTATTTTCTGTTCTGCTTCAGTCAGGATAAAGCTGGTATGAAGTCAGCATAAACACTGTGTCATATGCTCTGGATAGCTTGTGTATTAAAATTGTTTCATGTTGGGTTTGGGGTTTTCCAGTATTTTTTAGTCTTATTTTGAGTCTGTTTTTGAGCTTTGGTATTGCATCAGTAGTTACTTTTTCCACCCGCTGTATAGTAGAGACATGAAGTGATACCGCAGGAAGGTCTAGACAGTGGGTCCTTCTGTCCCAGGAGTCCTGGCCACACTAGCCAAGCATGACTTTTCACTTCCTCGGTATTCAAATGTGGTTTGGGTTTGAGGACTAAGGAGATAACCCTGGTAGCAGATGGTGCTGATATTGGGCCTAAGTCTCTGTGTGGGTGTCGGTGTGGCTGTACGCTATAGTGGTATCATATAAACATATCTTTGTCTGGGATATCTGAAAAGTAAACAGTCCTCAAGGGGAAATAGTTATGGAGAAATTCCAGGTGAGAAGTGCTGTGCTAAGTGGCCCATGGATGGACAAAGCTTAAAACTAATCAGAAATCTTCGGATTGTCATCAGGGCCTGTCAGCTGGTTGAAACTCTAGCTTTTCATAGAGAAAATCCAGTTTGAAATGTTTGTTTACTTCCATCAGGAAAAGTTTCCTAGGGCCAGGCTGTTATGAGTGCAATATATGAGCAAGCCCTCAGTGGTGCAGTCAGATGTAGAAAACTAAGGCTCAAAGTGCTGCCCTAAGTGATATTTATTTATTTATTTGTCCAAATCATCAGCTTCAGTAGAAAAGACAATCATGTTCCAGTGGCATTAGGTATAATGAGTCTTGAATGCAGTAAGCAAGCTCTTGGGCAGCAGAGGAAGAAGAGAGAGAGGTTCCTGTGAATAAGTCGCTTTGAGGTGTTCAACCATTCCCAAGCCGAGTGGCTGGTTCCCTTTCAGAGCTGATAGCTGGGGCCTTGCACCTGAATAAGGCTAGATTTAGGTAATTACTGAGTGTCCTAATGTCTGGGCTGTGTACCACTGCTGTGGCCGTTGTCACAGTCTCTGGTTACTTTCTTGCCCCGTGAAAATATTCAACTGGTGATGTGAAGTTTAGAAGTTGGGACTGATGCATTGTTTACTCCTAGTATGTGTACCTTTGTGTGTTGCTTTGAGGAGCAGCTCATTTTTTTTCTTTGGCTCCTGCATGCAGATTTGATCTGATGACACCGATGTACTTTATCTCCAACAGGCACCCCAAAATCTGAGGTCTAGATACCTACAAAAGCTCCTCTGTGTTCTGGGTAAACCCGTGCCTTACTTGGGTAGATACTGGGTTTTAAAGGCTTGTGCTGGCTGTTACTAAAATTGATGGAAAGTTAGCAAAGGCATGACTGGTGGAGTATTCTTTTACAAGTAAAATGGAACAAGGTATCACTGGGGACAGCAACATTAAGTTCCCACTTCTTGAAGTAGACTTTCTTCTTCCTTGGTCTCTAGAGTATGTGATAGCCTTGGTTTAAGTGCAAAGGAGCATGTCCTGCTTCAGAAGAAGTTTTGTTCTGTACAGGGGTGGAGAGTGTGCAACAGAAGTGCCAATGATAATGGAGGAGATTCAAGGCACTGGACCTAGGTTGAGTGTGAGGTGAAGGCTGCAAGAAGTCAAAGCCAGGAGCACAGAAACTTGGCAACGGCTGTATTTCATCTGAGACACAGAGTCATTCAAGAAGCAGTGCTTGATCTAGTAGCTTATCTGCCTCTGGTTTTGCTCTAATGATACTATGATCTAATAGTTATGATACTATGATCTAATCCTGACAGCTTGCTTTTTTTCATTTGCAAATACTTACCCATGACAGCACAGACTGAATAGCAATATCTCACGTCTTTTTTTCTTTTTGTTTCCCCTTTTTTCTTTCTACAGAGGAGAGAGAAAGAAGGTGGTTACAGAAACACGCCAAGGTTTTCACCTGAATAACCTCCTGCTGGAACAAAGCCAGCTCTGGTTATCACACCCCAGCGAGACATTTCCTGCTCCGCAGGAGGCGGCATGCGGGCAGGAGCGAGATGCTCCGTCTGCGTTAGTCACTCTTGGACTTTTTTCTCCCTGGCAGGAGGGTGGGGAAGGGGGTACCTCTGTGCCTTGCCTCCACTTCCTACCCTGTGATGTGAAGCTCAGGCATGCTCAGTAGCCGGTGCCTACTCCTCCTATCTCAGCAACAGTGCCTACAATACTAGGAGGCTGCTTGCAGCAGGAGCAGAGCCGGAAAGCCATCTTTGCTGGAGAGGCAGACAGCAGACCCTGCGCCGCTCGGCACCTCCTCGGCTGCCCACCATGTGAGTACCCGGGCGGCCCGCCCCGGCCCCGCGGCGGGGAGGTGCGGCCCACGCCCCCGTCCCACACCCGGCTGCGGGCTGGGCTGCCCCGCTGAGAAACGCGCGGAAAGTTGACAGCCGTGGGGGCAGGAGAGTTGCTGTGCAGACTTCGGAGAGATCGCGGGGTGCTACCCTGTTGCTCCCGCAGCCGAGGGGATTTAACTTCTGCGATCCGGCGTCGGTTTGGTGGTTGTGGGATGTGCAGCGTGGTCAGCGGGGTGAGGTGAAGGAATGGAAACAGGAATAAAATGTCTGAAGCTGCCATGGCTCTTGAGGATGGCATCCGTGCGGTTGCAGGCTCTGAGGAAGGATTTCCAGGGTGTGGGGCTTAGCATGTGTGATTAAGCCAGCTAGAGTCTGTAGCAAGCAGCATCAAAGTCTAATCTATCTGCTATTACTATTAACCTGTGAGCACTTAGATAGGGCTCTCACTGCTGTTTATCCAGCTGCCAGGCAGCAGTGGAGAGGATTATTGACACGTTTCTAACTGGGTTTAATACCCAAAAGAAATGCTGGGCCAAGATCCTCAACAGGATCAAGTCGGGATCGTTCGATAGCCTGAGTCACTCAGTGCTGCTGATCCATGGCTATGAGTCCTGTTTATTTTCAATGTTAATGAAACATGCTCTCTCAAATACTTGCTGTCTGATCAATTCAACCTCACCATCTCCAGTACCAGTGGCATCTTGTCAACAGCACTTGATAATAATCTGTTACTTCTTGTTTGCATCTCTTCAAATATCTCTTCCAAGTTTTTACATTCAGCATTAATGAAAGCATTAGCATTCTCTGCTACGCGGTGATGAAACCCCCAAAGTCAGTTCTGAAACCAGAAGGTTTGGAGGTAAGTAGGAATTGATCAGATGCCTATTAATTCACACAATAATTCAGCTAGCACAATACATCATATTACTATCGTCTCAAGTCATTGCTCATTCCTAGCAACTCCCAAGCGACAGCCAGAGAAGATGTCTAAACCAAAGTCACTCACATGTGGTGTATGGGACCAAATACTTGCTGGCATTGGGTGGTCTTGGAAGAACTGGAGCTTGATTTGATTCAGACAAGAGGAGGAGTGGAAACAGCCCTGGCAATCTGTGATTAAATTACTTTTAAAATATTTCCAATAGCTAACTGTTGTTCTTGAGGGTTTTTCAAAAGAGAGTCTACAATCACATATTCTGAAATGTTGGCTTTAATTTCTTTAATGCTATTTATATATAATATTTTGGACAAAAAGCTGTTGTCCGTGTTGTCTAAAAAGTTTCCAAAGCAAGGAACTCTTTGGAAGTAAAAAAAAAAATAAAATAAAAAATTGCTATCAAAAAGAAGACTCCTTTTGTAAACACTGAACTGCATCTAGCAAAAGCCAGTTCATTTTAAGCTACAGTTGCCTAGTTGTGTTTATATCAAGAGCCAGCTGATGACATCAAATACTTTTATTTGTATGTGAGCTGTTCTTCAATGATTAATACAAGAGTTTGCTGGTGCAGTATTACACAATCTAAGCTGTTCAAACACACAAAAAAAGAACTTGGATAATGTTTAACTTAATCTGTGCATACTTCAGTCATGGTATGTCTAGGTGTTCATGAGAGCATTTGTAAGTAAATCAGAAAGGGTGATGCTAATATAACCCAGTCATATTTCTTCTGCAGGGGGCTTGCATCAAATTTCTGACAAAAATTAGAAGAAAAAGCAAAAGCAGATTTTTGTCTATTTTGGCAATATAGACTTGCAGTTTGATAATCAAAACAAAGCCAAGACAAATAAGCAGCTTGTCATTGGGAGTGTCAATTGGCTTCTGTTTCATTGCCAGATATTGTAGTGAAAACATTTTTTTCAACGTCTGCATGAATATCATGTCCCAGTCACTTCTGAGTTGCTGATGATCAACAGAGATAAATGTGTATTAGCTACTGACTTGTTCACTGGACTATAAAAGCTAATTGCTAGTGAGCACCAAAAACTCTGTAGAGGTTACTTCTCTTGCTGTTAGATCTACAGAGTATTGCAAATGTGGACTCTTCTGTGTGCACACAGGCAGGCATGTGAGACACGATGCTGTGTCTTCACTGGTGTGAACTGGTGTCAATGAAGAGCTTCACTGAGTCAAATGACAGCTTCATTTATCCTGGTGTGCTGCTCCCTATAACAACTTCCCTATAACAAAGTGCTGAGGGCACAATGAAATAGTGGGTGTGCAGTGGTATTCCCAGAATACTTTCCCTGTTTCCAGCCATTTAAGGCTCAGGGCGTGTCTGAACCTGAGAGAAGTTCCTTGTATTTCACGAGTCCCAATGGGTTTTGTTGTGGTTTATTTTTCAGGTAGGTGTCCAGTTGCTCAATTTGCAGTGTCCTGTGGCAAGGAGCTCCACTGCTGGACCATGCAGGGTGTGAAAGTTGCTTCCTGTTGGTTTTGATCTCGCAGATAGGAAGTTCTGTCTGGCCGTACTCTTGTACTGGAAACCAGAGAACAGTGTTCCTTGTTCACCATCTTCTTTGTTTCATGAATGTGTATCACCCCAGCAGACCCGCACTGATTTATGTCAGATGAGAATCTGTGTCTAAGGTCTCTAAGGCAGTGAGTACCCAGCAGACCCGCACTGATTTATGTCAGATGAAAATCTGTGTCTATGGTCTCTAAGGCAGTGAGTAAAATCCGGGGCAGATAAGATACATTCAGGTAACAGACATGTTTCACCTTGGTGCAGGCAGAGGAGAGGAAGCTGCAACATAAAAAAGTTGAATGAAAGAAGAGGGATATAAGACGACCTAAAGCAAGAATAAAGAAGGGTTGGACTATGATAGTGTAGCTGGAAAGATTGTTCCAGGTGTAAGGGAAAGCACATAAACTTACTTGGAGGAGATATGAGGAGCAGTGAAGGGAGATGAAGAGAAAAAAACGGTGCTCAAAGCTGAGGTGCTTATAGGCTTTGTTCCTTAATGGAAATTAGACCAATTGCAGCAGGTGAAGTATATGGTATTATTTCTTTTACAGTGGTCACATTTCAATAGGTAATTGTATCTAATAGAAGCTCATGGCATCGTGTCATCTGTTGTTTACAGATAGGTCAGTGACCAGACAGCAGGGTGCCTTTGATTACATTAATACAACACAAAGTACTCTATTGCAGGGTACAACTTTTGTGAGACAAGCAGCACAGCACCTGTCTCTCCCTGGGGCAGAATTGCCTCACTGTATCTCATTCCTCGGGTGGCAGTTAGAACTTTCTAAAAAAAAACAATAATGAAAAAAAATCCTTCTGCCTGTTGTAGAGCACCAATGAGTACATCCTGGAGGGGACAGATGGGACTAAAATGGTTCCACCAGTTGTAACGAGTCTGTTCTGGTTGAATGTCTTTTCAATTTCTCTGAAAAGAATGGCATGGCTGTAGTCTCCTGCTGTTAGTAGAGCAGTACTTAGTTCTCCTTTTGTGGTCATCATTTTATGAAACTTGGCAAAATCTCCTTGCTCTGCCCTTCTCCTGTATTGGTCAGCAGAGATAAACCAATTCAGAACTGTTCTCTACACAACCTTGTTCCACTGCTTTCAGGGAGTTTAGCAGCTACAAGTGTACAGCCAGTGCATGTCCTAGGGAAGTATAACCAGCATGAAAAGGAGGGGTAAAACTTCTAAGCGGTGCAGGTGTTCCTTTAGCCATACATTCCAACAGAGTCCCAAAATCCATGGTAGCAGGAAGGTCTGAGTCCACTGGAGCTCTCAGGGTTTCACATCTGGTGGCCATCTGCCTCAGACCCAGAAAGGCTAGATTCAGTCTTGGCATTTTCTGACATTTTTTTCTCCCCCTACAGTCAGCTGATGGTTTGAGGGTCTCGTAGTATTGGTTCACACAAGAAAAGCTATGAAGGAGTGGGTTAACCTTCTCATTTAAAGGATGTAATGGAGCTTGTAGTGAAAATAACCAGGCTGTGCGCAGTGGAGCGGGGCTGTGTACATGAGATGAGGATGTTGAGAAAGGGAAAGGATCCCGTTTTGAGCATGGTTCTATTCTGACCCTTGTTTGCTGATTCTAAGACTCACAGATCTGTGTAAGAGCCTTGAAGTACGGGAATTAGGAATAGGAGCTATTATTTTGTCTGCTGCTTTGAGGCATCCACAGAGGGATGTATGTGTTTTGTTCATTGTTTGCTTCCACTGACTTGCTTATTTGTGTCATCGTGCAGACAGGGTTATTCTTCATGTATTGCATTGGAAATAAATGCTTCCAGCTCACATTAAGCGTTCTTCCTGATACTTGCCACTTGAAATAAGGGTGGCCCAAGTAGGTCATAAATCTTTTGGATATTTGGGTGATGAGTGTTTGGAAGTGTAGAGATCAAACTGAATGGTGTCTTGAGGATCTCAGCAAAGAAGAAAATCCCAGAATGGGAGCAACTGGGAATTATATGTGACAAGTACAGACAAAGTGGACGCCTATCATGATAAACAGTTTTCAAAACAGGCTAGTATGAGGCAGATGAAACCCAAATATACTTAGTTTGGTGGACCCTTTCCGTGTGACTTAGTGTTCAATCTGCTATGCATCGGCCATAACTTGTTCCTACTGATTTCCAGGCATTTTGCATAGATGTTTCCAGCTCTTCTTCCCTTCCTTCTACCGCTCTTATGCCACCATCTGTAGGATGCAGATCTCATGAAAGAGTCTCACTAACAGCTTTAGCCAAATGTCTACGGAGTCCTGGAAGGGGCAGTACAGACTGTCCCAAATAAGTTCAAATTGACTGAACTGCTCATTCTAAGCAGTTAGGACTTGGAGAATATCCTCACCTACATCATGCAGTACTCCCTACTGTCATTATTTGTAGCCATTACCAGCAACTAACTAGCCTGGTGTTTTTTAATGATGCAGTTCCTTTTTGATGATGTCTGATTCTTATGTCTGTACTTGAGCACTCTAAGCTTTTTTCTCTTATCCACTGAGCAACCATCAAATGATTGTAAGGTTGTTTGTTCTATGACTGCTCAGTTATGACAACCTTCTGTTCTTCTGTGCCAAGTAGTAACTCACTGAAATGTATCTGTCTGTACATTTGCAAGTAAGTGTTTTGTTAGTTGCAGTTATATTGTGGCTTCTGTACTGGATGAAATAATTAGAATGGAAGTTCCTGACCAAGTTCCTCGATCTCTTCCAATGCAGAATTCTATGAGAAACATGCACAAAAATGGAAATATTTCTATTTCAGAGTAAATGAGAAAGAAATTAAATTTATCAGGTGTTAAACGACCTTCTAGACTCAGTATCACAGGGTCAAAAGAGAACTGTTCTAGAAAGTAAAGATTCTCCTACGATGATCTTGTAGAAGACCAAAACCACATTGTTTCAGGAATTAATTGTGGGATTTTGGGGTTTTTGTTTGTTTGGCTTTTTAAAGAACATTCTCATCTATGCTCTCTAAATGTAAACGACAAACTCTAAATGTAGTTTACTTGTGTTTTGGAAGTACCAAATAGCCGACAGTTGGTGTTTGTAGGGAGTCAGTGCTGTGAACTTCACTGTAGTTTTGATTATTGTGAAACATGTCAATACCATGCTGAATTGAGGCAAGAAACTAGAGACAGAAACAAAACTGATGGGCAGTGGGAATAACCCTGAGGCTGTGATGTGTCCTGCTTCATTCGATGGTGTCCTTATGCTGGAGTCTAAGTAGGAAAGGAAGTGTCCATAGAGTTTACAAAACTCCTTATGTGGTCTAGAAAAGAGTTGAAGAGAGGAAATACACAATGATAAGTGTTGTACTGAACTGTTGTTAGTGCCTGATACTGGATGGATGCTTATTTTCTTTTAAGATCTTGCACCAGGTCCAGGTGGGAATTTACATATTGAACTTCAAAAATTTTAATTGGAAAATGAAATCAAAAAATTAAAATGTAGGGAAAAGGTTTTTCTTTCCCATTCTGAATGTGAGAAAATATGTTTTGTTACCAAATTATCAACAGACTTCTTGGCACGCTTTGAAATGAAGTTGCAAAATTTGGTTTTAAATCACTTCTTAAAGGAATGTACTGCACGTGCTCAGGAGAGATGTTTTGTGTACTGTTTTTGAAGATATTAAAAAGCTGACTGGATGATATCCTAAGCAAGTTTGTCCGGTGGGCCCTACTTTGAGTGGGGGCTTGAACTAGATGATCTCCAGAGGTTCCTTCCAGCTGCAGTGTTTCTGTGCTTCTGTTTGGAAGGTCAAGTCAAAATTGAATACATTGAAGCTGATTAAACTAACATTTGACTGTTTCCCAGACATTCAAGATTTTGACTTTTCATCCATGATAACTTGGTAGTACTTTTATCTTCAACCTGTTGGTAGTGGATGCCACAGAAATACCTGTAATAGAAGGGGAAAGCATATGGTATTTGGGAAGGGAAGAAATGTGGGATCACTGGAATGCATTATTAAATTTGGCTTGAATGCAGAAGTTCATATTCCTCCCACAGAGAACAAAACCCAGGTTCTGTATTATCAAGCTTTCTCGTCTTTCATATTCAAAGCAATCTTCTCTAGTTTTGGTGTCTGCTCCCATCTACACCACGTCTTGCAATACCTTGGTAGCGTGGAAAGAGCTATTGTTCTGTTCCCCTGTAAATGCTGTCTCAGCAGCGTGGAGTGCACATTTTAATGAAAACATATGGGCTTATATCAAGTTAGGGTGTCCAGATCCATAACAGAGGGAAAGCAAATCTCACTGTCACATGCAGCAGATCAGAAGTGGCAGGAATTACTGGTAGTAGGCAGGGTTACCAAGGAGTTGTGCTGACCAAGACAGGAGTCGTGACTCACTGCTACAGAGCTGTGGGCTTTTGCAGCTCAGCTTGTAACTTCTGGAAATGGTGAGTTTAATCTCTGATTTATCTAGCAAGATGGTGGCTGTTGGATTAGCCCTATGTTGCTTCAGGGCATGGCTGCGGAGGTGGATCCTTTGTGGAACTGTACAGGAGCTCTGTGGGCACACTCAGCAGAGTTCTCCTTTATATCCATGCTGATAGCAGGTACCTCTTGGTTTTGGGTTGTCGAAAGCAGGACAGATCCTTAGCCCAGCATCTTCCCTGCCTTTCCAGATCTCATTCCTCAGTCTAGGTTTCACATACCTCTGCAGAAGAGATGAGGAGTGACCTTTCTCAGTGAGCCTTGTGAACTGCAGTTCTTCCTGAAAACAATCTCTGAAACTTCAAAGTGAGCAATGCACCCAAAGTACTCAGCTTTACTGAAACATGGTTGTCTATATAAGAGCAAGTGCAGATCTGTGAAGGAAAGGACTTGGGAACTGGCCCTGTAGGCTTCTCAGCATCTCCTCTGCACCCACAGAAAG